CACCGGAGAGCTCACATTGGAGCAAGATCTTGTGAATGCATTGACTGTGGGAAAGCCTACAGCAGAATCTCTTGTCTCAATCAGCACCAGAAGGTTCACATGAGAGAAAGGCCGTAGGAGTGCTGCTGGTGTGGGAAAGTCTTCATTGAAATAGCCACAGGTGTTTGGTACCACAAAGTTCTCAACACAGAAAGGCCTCATATGGGCAGCACATGTTGCACCTTAGTTTCTTCTCATTTAACACCAGAAATTATAGGAAAGCCTTTAGATACAGCCTTAACCTCATTCAGTACCAGAAAGGTCATGACCCCAAAAGGACTTTAAATGCAGTCAGTGTGGGAAATCTTTACCCCAAAGCACCAAACTTGATCTACATGCAAGTTTCCATACCACAGAATATCCTCTTTAGTCCAACTAATGTGGGAAAGTCTTTTTTTTTTTTAAGATTTTATTTATTTATTTGAGCGAGAGAAAGAGAGTGAGAGAGAGAGTGTGAGAGTAGGGAGGGTCAGAGGGAGAAGCAGACTCCCTGCTGAGCAGGAAGCCCGATGCGGGACTCGATCTTGGGACTCCGGGATCATGACCTGAGCCGAAGGCTGTCTCTTGACTGAGCCACCCAGGCAGGGGGAGAGTCTTCAGCTGCAGCTCCAATCTTATTTCACTCCAGAAAGTTCACACTGAAGGCCTTAGGAGTACAATAAAGTGCAAAAGCCTTTAAGCCATGGCTATCACCTTATTCAGCCTCATGTCAGAGAGAAGACTTTGTGAGGGAGCCACTGCCAAAAGTCCAACCTTGTAATAGTTTTCTGTTTCTGTGTAACAAATTACAATTACCAAAACATCCATTTATTAGTTCACAGTACTGAGGTCAGCATTCTAGCACAACATGGCTAAGTTCTCTGCTCCTACTAGAATGAAGGTGCCTGCTAGCCTGAGTTCTTGTCTGGAGGTTCTGGGGGAAAAAATCCTTCCAGTCTCATGGATTACGATGGAAAAATCTTTTTTTTTTTTTTTCAAGATGGGTGGGGACCCCAGAGGGTTGCCCTACGATGGAAAAATCTTGGGGTCATCTTAGAATTCTGCCTACCATGTTTTTTTTTTTTTAAGATTTTATTTATTCATTTGAGAGAGAGACAGAGAGTGAAGGAGGGAAAGAGAGCAAGCATGAGCAGGGGGAAGATGCAGAGGGAGAAGCAGACCTCCCGCTGAGCCAGGGGAGTAAAAGTGTCTAACAGTAGGGCACTACTGGAAATAATTAGGGTATCTCCATTAAAAAATGTTGGCACTGAAAATGATTACATTTATAATCAGCAAATATACTAATAAGCATTCTTTGATAAGCAGAAAACATCATGTGCTTGTTAAAGAATGGACAGAGTCCCAACTGAGGCTTGCATCTCACTGATCTGGATGTTCCCACTCTCTCTTCCCTGCTCCTGATGAGCAGGGACTTGGAGTTATCTCCTTGTCCAGTGTCAACCAACCCAAGAAGTACTAAAGGCTGAAAGTATGTGATCCCAGACAATGATGTGAATCCACACGAAAAAACAAAAAGCACCAGTAATTATGTATAAGAAAGTATAAATGCTATTTCTTTTTTAAACTTATTATAAAAGCAACTATATAAAACCATATACATAACTGTACTGTTTGGCCTACAACAAACAGAAATATACTTGCCATTAGCAGCACAATGGAGGTGGGTGGACATAACTATATTGGCTTAAGGAAATGACTACAGAGAGTATCTCAAATTCAACACATGGGTTTATTTATTTGTCCAAACTCATCTAATTTTGCACTTGAAATGAGTGCATTTTGTTATATATGTTACACATTAATAAAGTTGACCAAGAAAGTCCAGTTGGAAAATGGGTAAAAACTTGAGCAGCTATTTCACTAAAGCAGATATATGGATAGCAAATATATGCATGAAAACATGTTCAGTAGCTATTACTGGTGGGAATGTAAGATGGTGCAGCTGCTCTGGAAAACAATTTGGTAGTTTAGCATACACTTACTGTACAACTCTACAATTGCATTCTTGGGCAATTATCACCTCCTTGACACACACAATGAAAACTCATGTCCATACAAAAGTGAAAACATGTTCATAGAAAGCTGAATACAAATGTTCACGGCACTGTTATTTGTGATAGCTAACAATGATGATGATAATAGTAAGAATAACAATGTAGACGGCCCAAATGTCCCTCAATAGTTAAATGGATAAACTGTGCTATATCTGGATAATGCGATACTACTTAGCAATAAAAAGGAACAAGCTACTGATACACACACCTTGGATGGATCTCAAATGCGTTATGCTGAGTGATAAAAGCCCACAGTGTAGCCCATCCATGCTATAGGATTTCCTTTATGTGACATTTGTGAACCGGCACATTATGGTGATGGAGGACAGATCAGTGGTGGTCAGGATTGGGAGAGGGTATGACCTAAGGGTTAGTTAGAACTTCCCTTGTGAAATGGAATAGCTCTGTATCGGACTGTGGTGGTGGTGGTGGTAACATGAATCTACACATGTGATAAAATTTCACAGAACTACATAGAGTATACGTGAAAATTGGTGTTATCTGAATAAGGTCTGTAGTTGAGTTAAAAGTATTGTATTAGTATATTTTCCTGGTTTTGACAATGTACTGTGGTTATGTAGAACATTATCATTGAGGGAAGCTGGATGAAGGGTACATGGGAACTCTTTTGCAACTTCTTTCAAACTACTTACAAATAAAAAGTATTTTAGGCGCACCTGGTTGGTTAAGTGTATGCCTTCGACTCAGGTCATGATCTCAGGGTCCTGGGATTGAGCCCCATGTCAGACTCCCTGCGGGAAGCCTGCTTCTCCCTCTCCCACTCCCCCAGCTTGTGTTCCTTCTCTCGCTGTGTCTCGCTCTGTCAAATAAAATCTTAAAAAAAAAAAAAAAGAAAAACAGTAGAGGGTCAGGGAAGCTCAAGGATCTGAGACAACATGGGTCAGACACCAGGTGTGAGAATAGCCCACCTCAGGCAGTCACTAGGGCTGGTCTCCTCACCAATTCTAGTAGGGTAACCACAGGGAATGTGGAAGCCACTAGAGCCATGGGGGCTGATGAGGTTTGTGAGAATCCACCCCAGGAGAGGTCAACCCCCCTTAAGAGACTATAGCCGCTGAGGATCATCTGTACATGAACAACAATGATGTTCACAACCTGAATGTCCAGGGAAGGTCTCCAAGAAAGAGCCCAGTGGCCACACAAACGATGACCACGTCAGTGCATGAAATGCTGGGGATCTTACACAAAGGGACTGAGCTGGACATGACCTGCTGCAAAGATTTACAGGCTTCTGATTGCTGATCTCAGCTGCTCATGGCCCCGTGGTAGAACGTGTGGGGGTTGCTCACAGCAGCCTGGGAGAGGAGGTAGCATGGCCTGGGCCCAAGCTCCAGGACCAATAGCAGTTTTCAAGGGGAACATGGCAAGAGCAGAGCAAAGTTTTCTAGTTGTGGGAGTGAGGAAGCCAGTGGCCTGACCCAGAGAAGCCACCAGGGCAAAGTTCTGAAGCATCACGCTGGGGTAGGCTTCTCTGGGACTCGCCTGAGTGCTCTGTTCTTCGCAGGAGACTCAGTACCACATCCTCCAGGATGAGCGCATCTGACATCAGTGCAAGACATCCAGGGGCTGAGTTCCTCTCCTGCCAGCCTCCTATCTGGATGTGCCCAGGACCTTTCCCCCTGACGTCCTCAACGACACGCTCACCCTCCTCCACAAGGCCCCCTACTCGAGTTGGCACCATGGCTTGACAGGGGGCAGGCTACCAGCCTACTGTCCTCTGAACATGTGCCAGACCCATCCCCAGCACCTGAGATCCGCCTGCGTCCAGCAGCCCAGGCGCTGAGGACGCAACACTTCTAAAAGCCAACTGCTTATCTTCCCCGACATCCCCCCACTCATGACAAGGTCCCTTGGCTGCTGGTCCCCAGCTGCTCACTGAACTCGGGCTGGGGAGTCGTTTCTTTTTTTTTTTAAGATTTTATTTATGTGTGTATTTATTTGACAGAGAGACACAGCGAGAGCGGGAACACGAGCAGGGGGAGTGGGAGAGGGAGAAGCAGGCTCCCCGCCGAGCAGGGAGCCCGACGCGGGGCTCGATCCCAGGACCTCGGGGTCACCACCCGAGCGGAAGGCAGACGCTTCAGCGACTGAGCCACCAGGCGCCCCTGGAGACTCTTCCTGAGCTCTGTCACCTGCTCTGTGAAGCTGACACAGCGTCCAGCGGGATGCCTCACGGGCGGTCGCGGGCACGACGGGCCTTGACGGAGGCGACGCCGAAGATGTCACCTCTCTACGGCCCGGGACACCGGGGCTCGGAACACCTGCCGCGCTCACGGCGCGTACACAGCGCGGTGCTCACTCTCACACCCGCCCTACCCCCGGCTCCTCGGCTCCTCCGCGCCCCTCAGCCTCCGAGCACACGCAGCGACGCGGTCCGTCCCCCGGGTGCGGCTCCGAGGGAGGAGTCCGGCGCCGGAAGTCCCGCCTCCACCCGCGCGGCTCTCCAGAGCGCTCCTGTCTCGGGCCGTCATTGGTTCCCTCGGCACGAGCGCCGGGCCGCGCCCCCCCGTCGCCTTGGCAACGAGCAAGCGGCACCGCGGGGGGAGCTGGGAAATGAGGTCCTAAAGGGACGGCGGAGGCTAAGTTGACGGAGGCAGCTGAGGCGGCCGGACTTCCGGCGTTGCCCTCGAGGTGCTCCTTCTGCCGCGGGGGTTCGGGACGGCTATCTCCAGAGCTGCGCGGCGGGCCGGTTTCCTTTAGAGGCCGCTCGGCGGAGGACTGGGGCGGGACCCCCGTCGCGCTGTGCACGCGCTGTGACTCCCGGGGCCGACCCCTCTTCCTGAGACGCGGCGTTGCCCCCGGCGGGACGGGCGCCGGAGGGTGTGGGCCTCCCACAGGGGCTTCCTGGTCCTTGGGCACATTTTCGCCCTAGCTTCGAAGGTTCCACGGCCGGCCGGAGGTTCCTGCGCCCAAAGCGGGGTGGCAGCTACGGAGTTCAGCCGAAGAGGCCGAAATTCGGCGCCTGCCGCGGCCATGCTCCGCCCACAGCTTCCTTTGGCCGGGGAGGCGCCGGTGAGTGGAAGGGGCCCCAGGCTTTGACAACCCCGGGCCCCACCCAGTGGGTCTGGGTTCTGAATGAGCTCCGGAGAAGCGGGGAAGGCTGTGGCGGCGGGTGAAGCAGAGGTGGAAGAGGGCCGGGGGTCTCGGAGGTCCGTGTGGGGTTTGGCCGGCTGAGGGCTGAAGCCAGGAACAGGTGCGGGCGGGGAGGTCTTCAGTACAGAGCGGAGGGGATGCTCTTCGCCATGAACCAGGAAGGGGCGGGATGGGATTGTGGTTGCTCTCAGGGGTGTCACTCTGGAGGCACCACGTGCAGAACGAGCATGTGAGGGATTCCAGTGAGTTGCCCATGGGGTGAACCGGTGAGATCGTGCGGGGGGTGTGGAGCTGTAACGTGCTGTGGTACCAAGACTTCCGTGCATGTCAGGCAGGACGGCAAACCGGACGGTCTGGGACCAAGTACTGGGACCTGAGAGAGAAGGGTGGTTGCCTCTGGGAGGTGATCTCCGAGACGTAGAGGGAATTGGCTGATAGGAGGTAGGGTGGGGCCTGTCGTCTGGCTGGGACACAGATGGTACCTGTCTGGTCACCAGCCTGCTGTTGCCGTGGGCAGGATGCAGAGTCCAGGAGTAACTGAGGAGAGGCACCAGTGGAACTGGGGCCCTGGCAGTCCTCCGAGATAAGGGTCCTAAGAGGAGGGAGGTAGAGGGTTTGCCTCGGGTGGGAATGGGGCTTTAGGGTTCAGAGGGAAAGAGGATGCCAGTGAGACATGTGGCAGGACCCCGAGACACTGATCAAGGGCATGGATGTGTTCCTTTGTCCATGTTTTGGTTGGCTCTTCCGCCCACTATTGACCCCTACGGCTCAGTTGAATCAATCATTACAGGGCTTGGTGACCTTTGAGGATGTGGCTGTGTATTTCTCCCGGGAGGAGTGGGGGCTCCTTAATCTGACCCAGAGGAGCCTGTACCGTGATGTGATGCTAGAGAACTTTGCACTTATTGGCTCGCTGGGTAAGTCTCTCACACTCTTCCCCGGCTGACTGACCACCTCTGCCTTTTCCCCATAGGAGGGTGTGTGCATCCTAAAGCCACACCACAGAGGCTGTTTCCTTCCCAAGTTCCCTGTGGTTGGTGCTATGGCTACTGGCCCTGGGCTGTGTGTTCTTCCTCTGCCTCCTTCTTAGCAGCCTCAACAGCTGTTGCCCTATAGCCTCCTGGAGTAGGGCTTGGGATGCAGGTATTTACAGTCTGCCCAACAAATTCCACTCAACCCTCCCTGTCTCTGTGACTCTGCTGAAGTCATGGCCCCTCTGTACTCGGTGTTGCCTTCCTTCAAAGGAGATTTTTATAGGCCTCTCCCTGGGCCAAACTTGAGCCATGAATTCGAATTAGTAGATCAATTTGGGGAGTATTGTTATCTTAATATCTTCCAATTCATGAACATGAGATATCGTTCCATTTATTCAGTCTTCTTTAACTTTTTTCAAGAGTGTTTTGTAGTTTTCAGCTTACGAGCCTAAATTTATTCCTAGGTATATTATTCCTTTTGATGCAATTTTAAGTGGAATTGTTGGCTTAATTTCATTTTAGATTTTTCAGTGCTAGTATATAAAAATACAGATTTTTGTATACTGATTTTTTTGTGTCCTATAGCCTTGATAAACTCATTTATTAGTTCTAATAGTTTTTTCAAAGTCATATTTCATTTTTTAATTATTAACATATAATGTATTATTTGTTTCAGGAGTACAGGTCTGTGATTCATCAGTCTTACACAATACACAGCGCTCACCACAACACATACCCTCCCCAATGTCCATCATGCAGCCACCCCATCCCTCCCACCCCCCTCTACTCCAGCAACCCTCAGTTTGTTTGCTGAGATTAAGAGTCTCTTATGGTTTGTTTCCCTCTCTGGTTTCTTCTTATTTCATTTTTTCCTCTCTCCCCTATGATCCTCTGCCTTGTTTCTCAAATTCCACATATCCGTGAGATTGTATGATAATTGTCTTTCTCTGATTAACTTATTTTGCTTAGCATAATACCCTCTAGTTCCATCCACATCGTTGCAAATGGTAAGATTTCATTTTTTGATGGCTGCATAATATTCCATTGTATATATAGACCACATCTTCTTTATCCATTCATCTGTCGATGGACATCTGGACTCTTTCCATAGTTTGACTATTGTGGACATTGCTGTTATAAACATTGGGGTGCAGGTGACCCTTCAGATCCCTACATTTGTATTACTGGTGTAAATACCCAGTAGTGCAATTGGTGGGTCATAGGGTAGCTCTATTTTCAACTTTTTGAGGAACCTCGATACTGTTTTCCAGAGTGGCTACACCAGCTTGCATTCCCACCAACAGCGTAGGAGGGTTCTCCTTTCTTTGAATCCTTGCCAACATCTGTCGTTTCCTGACTTGTTAATTTTAGCCATGCTGACTGGTGTGAGGTGGTATCTCACTGTGGTTTTGATTTGTATTTCCCTGATACCGAGTGATGTTGAGCACTATGTCTGTTGTCCATTTTGATGTCTTCTTTGGAGAAATGTCTGTTCATGTCTTCTGCCCATTACTTGTTTGCATTATTTTTTCCTTGGGTGTTGAGTTTGGTAAGTTATTTATAGATTTTGTGTACTAGCCCTTTTTCTGATATGTCATTTGCAAATATCTTCTCCCATTCTGCCAGCTGTCTTTTGGTTTTGTTGACTGTTGTCTTTGCTGTGCAAAAGCTTTTTATCTTGATGAAGTCCCAATAGTTCGTTTTTGCCCTTGCTTCCCTTGCCTTTGGTGATGTGTCCAGGAAGAAGTCACGCACCCGAGGTCGAAGAGGTTGCTGCCTGTGTTCTCCTCAAGGATTTTGATGGATTCCTGTCTCACATTTAGGTCTTTCATCAATTTTGAGTCTATTTTTGTGTGCGGTGTAAGGAAATGGTCCAGTTTCGTTCTTCCGCATGTGGCTGTCCAATTTTCCCAACACCATTTGTTGAAGAAACTCTTTTTTCCATTGGATATTAAGCTTTGTTGAAGATTAGTTGACCATAGAGTTGAGGGTCCATTTCTGGGCTCTCTATTCTGTTCCATTGATCTATGTGCCTGTTTTTGTGCCAGTACCATACTGTCTTGATGATTACGGCTTTGTAATAGAGCTGGAAATCCGGAATTGTGATGCCACCAGCTTTGGTTTTCTTTTTCAGTATTCCTCTGGCTATTTGGGGTCTTTTCTGGTTCCATACAAATTTTAGGATTATTTGTTTCATTTCTGTGAAAAAAAGTTGATGGTATTTTGATAGGGATTGCATTGAATGTGTAGATTGCTCTAGGTAGCATAGACATTTTCATTTTCACAATATTTGTTCTTCAAATCCATGAGCATGGAATGTTTTTCCATTTCTTTGTGTCTTCCTCAATTCCTTTCATGAGTATTCTATAGTTTTTTGAGTACAGATTCTTTGCCTCTTTGGTTAGACTTATTCCTAGGTATCTTATGGTTTTGGGTGCAATTGTAAATGGGATCGACTCCTTAATTTCTCTTTCTTCTGTCTTGGTGGTGGTGTATAGAAATGCAACTGATTTCTGTGCACTGATTTTATATCCTGCCACTTTATTGAATTCCTGTATGAGTTCTAGCAATTTGGGGGTGGAGTCTTTTGGGTTTTCCACATAAAGTATCATATCATCTGCAAAGATTGAGAGTCTGACTTCTTTGTTGACTCAGATGCCTTTTATTTCTTTTTGTTGTCTAGTTGCTGAGGCTAGGCCTTCTAATACTATGTTGAATAGCAGTGGTGATAGTAGACATCCCTGCCGTGTTCCTGACCATAGGGGGAAAGCTCTCAGTTTTTCCCCATTGAGAATGATCTTTGCTGTGGATTTTTCATAGATGGCTTTTATGATACTGAGGTATGTACCCTTTATTGCTACACTGTGAAGAGTTTTAATCAAGAAAGTATGCTGTATTTTGTCAAATGCTTTTACTGCATCTATTGAGAGGGTCATATGGTTCTTGTTCTTTCTTTTATTAATGTAGTGTATATCATTGATTGATTTGCTAATGTTGAACCAGCCTTGCACCCAGGAATAAATCCCACTTGCTTGTGGTGAATAATCCTTTTAATGTACTGTTGGATCCTATTGGCTAGTATTTTGGTGAGAATTTTTGCATCCATTTTCATCAGGGATATTGGTCTGTAACTCTCCTTTTGGTGGGGTCTTTGTCTGGTTTTGGGATCAAGGTAATGCTGGCCTCATAAAATGAGTTTGGAAGATTTTCTTCCATTTCTATTTTTTGGAACAATTTCAGAAGAATAGGTATTAATTCTTTAAATGTTTGGTAGAATTCCCTTGGGAAGCCATCTGGCCCTGAGCTCTTGTTTGTTGGGAGATTTTTTTTTTTTAAGGTTTTATTTATTCATGTGAGACAGAGAGAGAGAGAGAGAGAGAGAGAGAGAGAGCATGAGCAGGAGGAGAAGCAGAGGGAGAGGGAGAAGCAGGCTCCCCGCCGAGTTAGGAGCCCGATGTGGGGCTCGATCCCAGGACCTGAGCTGAAGGCAGACGCCTAACCATCTGAGCCACCCAGGCGCCCCTTTTGGGAGATTTTTGATTACTGCTTCAATTTCCTTGCTAGTTATGGGTTTGTTCAGGTTTTCTATTTCTTCCTGGTTCAGTTTTGGTAGCTTATATGTCTCTAGGAATGCATCCATTTCTTCCAGATTGTCTAATTTGTTGGCATATAGTTGCTCATAATATGTTCTTATAATTGTTTGTATTTCTTTGGTGTTGGTTTTGATCTCTCCTCTTTCATTCATGATTTTATTTATTTGGGTCCTTTCTCTTTTATTTTTGATAAGCCTGGCCAGGAGTTTATCAATCTTATTAATTCTTTCAAAGAACCAGCTCCTAGTTTTGTTGATCTGTTCTGTTCTTTTGGTTTCTGTTTCATTGATTTCTGCTCTGATCTTTATTATTTCTCTTCTCCTGCTAGGTTTAGGCTTTATTTGCTTTCCTTTCTCCAGCTCCTTTAGGTGTAGGGTTAGGTTTTGTATTTGAGATCTTTTTTATTTCTTGAGAAAGGCTTGCTATATACTTCCCTCTTAGGACCACCTTTGCTGCATCCCAAAGATTTTGAACAGTTGTGTTTTCATTTTCATTTGTTTCCATGAATTTTTAAAATTCTTCTTTAATTTCCTGGTTGACCCATTCATTCTTTAGTAGGATGCTCTTTATCCTCCATGTATTTGAGTTCTTTCCAACTTTCCTCTTGTGATTGAGTTTGAGTTTCAAAGCATTGTGATCTGAAAATATACAGGGAATGATCCCAATCTTTTTACCGGTTGAGACTTGATTTGTGACCCAGGATGTGATCTATTCTGGAGAATGTTCCATGTGCACTAGAGAAGAATGTGTATTCTGTAGCTTTGGGATGAATAGTTCTAATAGTTTTGTTTTTTTGTGGACTCCTTGATACTTTCCATATACATGACATCATGTCATCTGCAAATACAGATATTTTTACCTCTTCCTTTGCTTAACTGGCCTGGCTAGAACCTTCAGTACTTACTGAATAGAATTGGTGAGAGTAGACTTCCTTGTCTTCTTCCCAGTCTTACGAGAAAAGCATTTAGTCTTTCAGTAGTAAGTATGATGTTAGCTGTAGAATTTTTGCAGTTGCCTTTTATAGGTGAGGAAATTCCCTTCTTTTCTTAGTTTGTTGAGTGCATTAATCATGAAAGATCATTAGATTTTGTCTAGTGCTTTCCCGTATCTATTGAAATGGTCATGTGATTTTTATCCTCTATTCTGTTAACATGGTATATTACCTTAATTGGTTTTCATATGTTCAATCTTGCATTACTAAGACAAATTCCACTCTGTCATAGTTTATAAACCTTTTATGTATTTCTGGATTTGGTTTACTAGTATTTTGTTGAGTTTTGCATCTATATTCATAAGAGTTATCAATGTATAGTTTTCTCATAATGTCTATATTTGGGTTGAGCATGAGGGTAATTTTGGCCTCAATGGATGAGTTGGGAAAGGTTCCCTTTTCTTCTGTTTTCTGGAAGAGCGTGTGAAGTATTTGTGCTAATTCTTTTTTTTTTTTAAGATTATTTATTTATTTATTTAACAGAAACACAGTGAGAGAGAGAGAACACAAGCAGGGGGAGTGGGAGAGGGAGAAGCAGGCCTCCCGCCGAGCAGGGAGCCCGATGCAGGGCTTGATCCCAGGAGCCTGGGATCACGACCTGAGCCGAAGGCAGACGCTTAACAACTGAGCCACCCAGGCACCCCATGTGCTAATTCTTATTTCAGTGTTAATATTCATCAGTGAAGAATCTTTTTGTTTGTTTGTTTTTTTCACTCCTGTGGTGGGAAGTTTTTTTGTTTTGTTTGTTTTTAAGTATAATTAGACTTTCTATTTCTTCTTGAGAGTCAATTTTGATAGTTTGTGTCTTTTTTAGTAATTTGTCCTTTTTTTTTGAGCTTTTATATTTGAGTTTATTGTTAACTTTTAAAACACTACTGTAGTTGAATATTAAAACAAAAACAATAGCAAGTAGTGAGATATGATTATAGTCCTTCACTCATTCACTACTGCATATAAAATGCCAGCAGTGTTATTCACTGGCTTTATTAAGAGGTCTGACACTGAACACCACCCCGGGATGATGTTCATCATCCTCATAGGCTTCCCCATTGTAATGGCGCCATCTTTCCTGATTTGGATCAAAGTCCACCAGTTCTACCTGGTCTGTTTCATCAATCTCTTCTACTTCCTTCCTCTCAGGTAGGAGTTTTTCCAGCAAAGAGAGTTTATCAGGAGAGAGAAAGCCATTCTCAGGAAAGTTCACCTTAAATTCGGTGATTAGGCTACCCTTCTCATATGGTCTACTATAAATTGGCATGCCTTCATGTAGCACACACTTGATATCTTCATGCTTGACAATTTGACCTGGGAGAGAGGTGATGACGATGGTTCGGTTGTCAAGAGTAGATATTGGCGGGGCGCCTGGGTGGCTCAGTCTGTTAAGCATCTGCCTTTGGCTCAGGTCCTGATCCCAGAGTCCTGGGATAGAGCCCCACATCGGGTTCCCTGCTCAGCGGGAAGCCTGCTTCTCCCTCTCCCGCTCCCCCTGCTTGTGTTCCCTCTCTCACTGTGTCTCTCTGTCAAATAAATAAATAAATAAAATCTTAAAAAAAAAAAAAGAGTAGATACTGGCTTTTGAAAGTCACACACTGCTTCAACCAGCTGTATGTCCATACACATGAAAAGGTCTTTTCCTTGCCGAGTAAAAGCAGCGTGGTCCTTCTGATATAAAATAATGATACCTCCTGGTTCCAGTCCTGGTTCTTGGTCTCCTTCTCCATGGAATGTTATCTTCTGGCCATCCTTCATGCCTTTGTCAATATGAACTTCTAGAATCTTCTTCTCTTGATTTGGGACTGATCCGTTCCCCATGGCCCTGGCACTCCATGCACACAGGTTGAATTTGCTGAACCATTCCAGGTCCTATCTGATGAATTCTTATTTGCATTCCAGTACCTCAGCAATTGGGACAACATTCGACTGCTCCTTTCTTACCACCTCGGCCTTCACATTTATTGCAAATCACTTTCTTTTGCAAAGCTAGTTTTCTTGTTGCACCATTATATAAATCTTCTAAGGTTACTGAGAGCTGATGCACAACATTTTTACCTCTCCTTTATCTCTGCATCCTTCCTCCTCCTCCAAAAAACATATCAAAGATGCCCATGGGGGAGCCAAAGCCACCACCAGCTCCACCTTCTTTAATTGCCTGTTTTCCTCCTTTGTCATATGATTCCCTTTTCTTTGCATCAGAGAGTACTTCGTAAGCTTGAGAAATCTGTTTAAACTTTTCTCCTTCATTTGGATTCTTATCAGGGTGGTACTTCAAGGCCAGTTTCCTGTAGGCCTTTTTCAATTCCTCTTGGGTGGCATTGGGTTTGACCCCCAAAACATCATAGTAAGTGGTTTCTTTCACCATTTTCTACAGCCAGTGAGAGGGCCAAGGCCGGTGTGGGGGAGCAGGAAGGAGCACGTTGCTGGGCATAGCTCGGGCAGCCACCGCTCCTCTGCATCTCACCGAGCGTTCTGGAAAGTTCCCTGTAATTTGTCCATTTTATCTAAGTTACCTAATTTGTGGGCATATGTACAGTTGTTCATAGTATTTCCTTACAATCCTTTCTCTTAGTTAGTGATGTCCCCTTTTTCATTCCTGTTTTTAATAAATTGATTCTTCTATTTTTTTCTTGTCAGTCTACGTAGCAGTTTTTCAATTTTGTTGATCTTTTCAAAGATCCTAATTTTGGTTTTATTGATTCTCTTTTTCTAATCTCTATTTCATTTATCTCTGCTCGTTATCATTTCCTTCATTCTGCTAGCTTTGAGTTCAGTCGCTTTTCTTTTTCCTGTTTCTTGAGGCCTAAAGTTAGGCTATTGGTTTGAGATATTTTAAATATGGGTGTTGTGACATAATAAGAAATAAATATTTTGTCTTTATACCCAATTCCTAGCACAGGTCCTAAAACATTTGGAATCTCTGAAGTGGTAAGAGTGTCTTTTGTGTGCTAATGGAATGACTGGTGGGTGGGAGCTCCTAGATAGCTTCAGGATAGGAAGTGGCCACCAGAAACACCAGGGTATGATAGGAAGGTTGGATTTTGAGCTACCCCCACCCCCATCCTTCCAGTCCCCCAGTCTCCCCAGCCTCTGGGGAGAGTAGAGGGGCTGGAGACTGAAGCAATCACCAGTGGCCAATGATTTAACTAATTATACATCATAATGAAATCTCCATAGAAACTCCTAAATAACAGGGTTCAGAGAGCGTCTAGGTTGCTGGGAAAGTGCCACTGGAGGGCATGGGTGCCCTCTTACCCTCTGCTTCCTCATCCCCCACTCCCATCTCCACCCCTGGTATACTTTGCCCTTTGCATCTCTTCCATTGGGCTGTTCCTGAGTTGTATACTTTATAATAATCTGGTAATACTAAGTAAACTCTTTTCCTCAGTTCTGTGAGCCATTATAGGAAATTATTGAGCTTGAGAAGGGATCAATAATTGTGGGAATCCCTGATTTATAGCTAGTTGGTCAGAAGAATGGGAGTCTGGGACATCCAACTGTTGTCTGAAGTAGGGGCAGTCTTGTGAGACTGAGCCCTTAACCTGTGGGATCTGATGCTGATTCCAGGTAGTCAGTATCAGAATTTAATTGAATCCTTGGATGCCACGTTGGTGTCTGAGAGTTGAAGTGGTGTGGAACATCCACCCTACACCTTACCCACATTTGGTGTTATGAGTAGGGGCGCCTGGGTGGCTAGTCAGTTAAGCGTCTGCCTTTGGTTGAGGTCATGATCCCAGGGTCCTGGGATTGAGCTCCACGTCAGACTCCCTGCTCAGCATGGAGTCTGCTTCTCCCTCTCCCTTTCCCCCTGCTTTTGTTCTCTCTCTCAAATAAATAAACAAAATCTTAAAAAAAAAAAAAAGAAGAAGTGTTATGAGTAAAACAGCATGGAATTTTAGCTCTGATTTTCCCTCCAAGAACTGCTATGTCCCATTACTTGTGGTATGTTGTGTTTTCATTTTCATTCATCTCAAAGTTCTTTGTAGTTTTCTTTGTGGTTATTTAGATGTGTTTTACTTAAATTCCGTAAATTTGTGAGTTTCCCAAATTTCTTTCTGTTGTTGATTTCTGTTTTAATTCCTTTGTGGTCAGAGAATATACTTTGTGTTATTTCAGTCCTCTGAAATATATTGAGACCTCTTTTATGTCCTAGCAAATGGTCTGTTCTGGGGAATGTTCCATGTGCACGTGAGAGCGTGAGAATACATATTCTGCTGTTGTTATGTGGCAGGCTATATAGATGTCTGTTAAGTCTAGTTGGTTTCTAGTGTTAGTCAAGTGCTGTGTGCTTGTTTGTTCTCTGCCTAGTGGTTCTGTCCATTCTTGAAAGTTAGAAGTTGAAATCTCCAACTATTATTGTTTGTCTATCTTTTTACTTCATTTATGTCAGTTTACCTTCATGTAAGTTTCTTTCAAAATAAATTGTAGTGAAACACAACATGGGGTCTACCTGCTTAACAAATTTTTAAATGTGCAGAGGAGGTTTGTTTTCTAATACTCCGTTTCCTTCATGGTTGGCATGATGACATGAGCTTCCTGGTGGGGAGGAGGTGGGCAAGCCTTGGCTTGGGCTGGCCTCTTATTACCTTTCTCTCTCCTAGGATTTGCACCTTCAAGGTCCCATGTGGTTGCCCAGCTGGAGAGTGAAGAAGACCTCTGGATGCCCAACATGGTGGACTTGACACTGGGCAGCAGAGCAGAGGCCAGGAGGGGTCCTGGTCCTGGTGAGTAGGGCTAGGCGATGACTTGGTTTCACTGATGAGCTCACAGCATGCTGGGTGTCTGTGTGCACTGGCATTTTGGTGCTGAGGCCAGTGACCACACACTATTCCCACATTTCCTCTCCCTTCTGAACACACTGTGTGATCTTCCCATCCCTACCATGACTCTCAGGACCTATGTGTCCCTGGCCTCTGCCAGTGTAGAGCTGTCCACTGGTGACTTGAGATGTGTACATGCCCTTAAATAATACCTGAACACCAGCTACTCTGTTACAGTTGCCTTTTCATTGGAGCAAACACATCCTCTTCACAGTGCTTCCTGTCACCAGTGGCTGAGGCCCTGCTTGAAACCATTGCAAGGAGTGACTTGGAGATCCCACCTCTTCTCCCTGCATTGCTCCCATCTTGTGTCCTCACTCCCGCTGAGGTCTTTGCTATTCTGTGATCTGGCAGAGCCCTGTTCTGCTGGGCCAGCCCTTTCTCACCCAGACTTTTCCTAGGAGCCTCCTGGCAATTCTGTGGACTCCTTTTTGGTATGTCTGACATGTGTTTGTGATGAAGGTGCCTCCTCCCTCTAATCCAGCTCTCAGTAACTGGCTTTTCTCTGTTTCAGGTTGTCCATGTAGACTGGAGGATGAGGAAGCCTCTCCAGAGCAGATCAAGAGCTACAAAGTCTACCTATCAGAGAAGCCCCTTCTGTGTGGGGAGTCTGGAAAGGACGTCCCTACCACCTTAGGCCTCCTCCAGCACCAGGCCACCCACAGCAAGGAGAAGCTACACAAGAGCACCAAGCCTGGGGAGGCCTTCCAACCCAGCTCCAATTGCCAGCAGCAGCAGGGCCTCCACACCACACAGAAGGCCTTCAAGTGCAGTGACTGTGGGAAAGCCTTCCTGAAGGCTTTTGCACTCCTCGACCATCTGATAACTCACCCCAAAGAGAGACCCTTTAGATGCCTGAAAGGTGGAAATGCCCCCAAGGACAAATCCACCCATGTTAATTACCAAAAAATTCACACTGGAGAAACATCCCATGTGTGTAATGAGTGTGGAAAGGTCTTCAGTTATCCATCTAAACTGAGGAAGCACCAGAAGGTTCACACAGGCATAAAACCTTTCAAGTGTGATGAGTGTGGCAAAACCTTCAACCGTAAAGATGCACTTGTTCTGCACCAGAGAATTCACACTGGAGAAAGGCCTTATGAGTGCAGTGAATGTGGGAAAGCCTTCAGTGTTCTGTCTACTCTCATTCGGCACCGGAAAGTTCACATTGGAGAAAGGCCCTATGAGTGCAGGGAATGTGGGAAGTTCTTTAAATACAACCATAGCTTCATTCTTCACCAGAGAGTTCACACTGGAGAAAGGCCTTATGAGTGCAAGCAATGTGGGAAAACTTATGTGACCCGCTCTGGCCTGTATCAGCACTGGAAAGTTCACACTGGAGAACGGCCCTATGAGTGCAGCCTGTGTGGGAAGACCTTTACCACCAGGTCCTACCGCAATCGGCACCAGCAGTTCCACACTGAAGAGAGATCCTATGAATGTACAGAATGTGGGAAAGCCTTCAAACACAGTTCTACCCTCCTTCAGCACAAGAAAGTCCACACTGGAGAAAGGCCATAAGAAGACGGGATGTTGGAAAGCCTGTAGCCAGGGCTGGGCACCTTGTTCAACATGAAAGCCCTCACTCCAGAAAGGAGATTGAGGAGCGTAGCCATTTGAGAGCTAAACCTAGCATACCCCAATATGTGCCCTGGGGCGGCAGGCGTGTAGGAAGCTTTCAGGAGCTAGGTTGCACTCCAACCTGCCGAGGTTGTTGGCAGTGTTAAGTCACTGCTGGTTTCTGTGATAGAAGCCATCCTACTTCCTCCACCTGGCAGGTGCTCAAGATGTGCATCATTCATCTCAACGTGCTCTGGAACAGCAGACCTCCTTAGTCCCCACTCTGTACAGGAAAGAATTATGAGTGGTAAACCCAGAATGGGCCTCATTCCCCCCCTCCAACTGGTTTAGGTATGTCTGTGACCAGGCTCTGGTCAAGGTTAGCTGAGCTGTGTCTACTGGGGGCTTCTAGAGAAAGTTAATCATTTCCATGGACACGGTTGACACTACACATGGTACCTGTTATGGATTTACCCACCCCTGGAACTGACTGTCTCACACGTCCCTGGAATGTATGGTAATAAAAGCTTTATTGTTTAAGCCACTTTTAATATTGGGCATTCTGATCACTGTGTGTGGAGGGATTGAGAACAAAACTGGGCTCCTGAAGAGAGGGACTGGCTTCTGTGGGGAGGGGTCCCTGACTTTTGTTGCCTTACTGGGGATAGCAGGATGTTCATCTCATGGCCATTACCCTGGTCCCAAAATGAAGACCCTGCAGTCCTGGGATGTGGCCAGGGCCCCTGGCATCTGTGCACACCATGGCCTCCATTGTTTTTGCTGCCAAGGGAGAGAAGTGGTTGAATGAACATATGTATTCATATCCTTTGTTTTTTGGGGTCTTTTGATTTTAAAAATTTTGGAAACTAATTTCCCAAAAGTTCAATAAGATACCAGTTCAGCAAAACTTGTGTGTTGTTTGTAGATGTGTCCCTGGTCCAAAAATTATGTTTCCTGTCAAGAAGAGAACTTGGAGGCATGTTTAGAGAGAGAACTGTGACCCTAGACTTGAGGGGTTTTGAACCACAGTGCTCAGCCAGTATCATGTGTTGGGGTTGGAAACCACTGCTGCCTTCTGTAACTGGTTCTTCTCCCTGATCCCCCACCCTCCCCCCCACAATGGTGGGAGAGGTGACGACCACACAGGGTAGAAACCCCGGGCAGGCTTAAAAAGTCAGGGAACTTGTGTGCCTTGGTGGCTCAGTCAGTTAAGTGTCTGACTATGTATATTTGCTTATTTAGACATTTCATATAAATGGAATCACACAGTATGTGTTTTTCTGTGAATGGCTTTCACTTAGCATAATATATTTTTTGAGGTTCATCTTTGTTGTAGCACATATCAGGACTTCATTCCTTTTTATGGCCAAATAATATTCTATTGTGTAGATATACCACAGTTTGTTTATTCATTCATCAGTTGATTGGGCATTTGTCTTTTTTTTTTTTTAAGATTTTATTTATTTATTTGACAGAGAGAGACACAGCGAGAAAGGAAACACAAGCAGGGGGAGTGGGTGAGAGGAAGAAGCAGGCTTCCGCGGAGCAGAGAGCCTGATGCAGGGCTCGATCCCAGGACCCTGGGACCATGACCTGAGCCGAAGGCAGACACTTAATGGCTGAGTCACCCAGGCGCCCCTGGGCATTTGTCTTGTTTCCACTTTTTGGGTCTCATGAAAAATGTTGCTATGAATATTCAAGTACAGGTTTTTGTGTAAGTATGTCTTCATTTCTTTTGGGTAGATAAATAGAAATGGAATTGCCAAACTGTTTTCCAGATTGGCAGCACCATTTTATACTTCCACAGCAGTGTATGAGTATTCCAATTTTTCTACTTCCTTATCAACACTTACTATTTCTGTTTTCCCATAGATACTCTAGTGGGTGTGAAGTGGTATCTCACTGCAGTTTTGATTTGCATTTCTTTAACAACCGATGATGTTGAGCAACTTTTCATGTGCTTATTGGCTGTGTGTGTGTGTGTAGCAGAGGCCTGGCCTCAGGCCAAAGGTTCAGGCATCAAAGAGAAGAGAGAAACTGACACCAACTTGGAGAGAAAAATGCAGCAGAATTGGAGGAGTGGCAAAGTGGGGAAAGGTTGAGAAGACAGTGGAGAGTGTCCCTCATGGGGGAGGTCACAGGCCAAGGTCCAAGTGCAGGGAACTACTGTTGGATGCAACTCAGAGAGCTATCATTAGTGAGGGCAGAATGGTCAGTGTCAGTATAAAAACTGCATCAAAAACCTGTAGGCACTGGCCTGCTGCACTGATTGAGCTGAAAGTGTTGGAACTACTGAGCCCCACAAAGGCTGGTATTCAGAACAGCTCAAAGGTCAGAGTCCTGAGACCTTTGCCTGGAGTGTTCTGGCATCGCTGCTAAACATCTTCCTTCCCCAACAGACTTGTTGCTGTGTACTGAGCCCCAGTGGAAGACCATGCCTATTCAAGGAAAGCACAGAAGATTCTTCAGCCATGAGCTGGGGGCCATTTAATGAGATCTAACCAGCCATCCATACTGTACAAAGAATTGAGCTGTGATGACCAGTGTCTATCCTACCCCATTTGCTTAGAAGGCTTGATCCTCACGTGGCTCAGGTGGCCTTTAACTCTGATCCCACATGAGTCCTCCATGTTGGTAAAAGACATTACATCCAGGAAGGGAGGCCTGAGCAGGGTGGGGGATTCCCCCAAACATCTCATTGTGCTAGGGAGTACTTGAGCAGCCCTGCTGTAATCTTTGATTACTGCAAGCCCATCTTGGGTTCCACCTCTAATGTGGCTATCATTCCTTGTCTCTGCTGGGCTTTTGGGAAAAGTCATCCTGAGAAGAGGTGGCAGTAGCACTGCCTTCCCACCCACCATGCAGTATGGATGGACACTGCACACCGAAGCCTCTCATGTCAGAAAATTCTTGGTCTTTCTTCCCACAGGTCTCATGGAAGGGCCCAGGGGAACATATATGGCCCACCCACAGGTTTTGGTAAACTGCTTTTGTACTGTACAAAATATTTTTTGAAACGGCTTCTAACATAAAATCAAAAGCCACATAAAAATCTGAATATCTGGCTCTTCCCAGACAGCCAAGAAATCCGGGAAACCCATATTAACTCCACCATGTTGTCTCCCTACCCTTTAAAAAGGACAGACTTCCTTGGTGGCTACCAGAAGTGGAGTAATGAATGCCATGGCTATGCAATTCTCTCAAACTCTGGTACTCACATAAACCATTCTCCTGACCATGAGCTCCATCCTCTTGATGATGAGGTTCCTGTGTGGTGACAGACATGAGGTGAATAGGTCAGGGAGAATACAGGAATTCATAAAACATTTTTTTGGATTTCCATTATGAGTGATATTCAGGTCTGCACGTCTTGAGTTCTTCACTCTTATCTCACTTGGCCAGAGTCACCTGGAAGGTTTTTTTCTTTATAAAGATTTTATTTTTAAGTAATCTCTGTATCCAACTTGGGGCTCAATCTCACAACCTCAAGATCAAGAGTTGCATGCTCTACCAACTGAGCCAGCCAGGCACCCCAATCTGAAAGTTTTTGATGTACCTTTAGAATAGCCAAGTTCCCTTTAGTTTACCAGTCTGCTCCAAACCCAATGTTTCTGGCTCCCAGATGGCCCCTGTACATCTCAGATTAAGTTTACTTGCCTTACCCTGCAGAGCCTCAGCTAATGGAGAACTGTGGTGCTCCTTTGTCTGTCCCTAATGGCAGTGCTGTAATTTCCTCCCAACTCCCTCTTACCTCACACCCATTGTTTCTCTATCCACTGGGCCTCTACCCGCCTCCTAGGGTCTTATCTCCTTATTAGGAACCAGAAGACAGCTCCTCAGATGGGGAAACCCAGACATCTCTCTGGGAACTAGGGACCTGCCTCCTAATTCAACAGACCATTCATGTTGCAGACTAGCATCCTCCTTCTTCAGGGTGAGCTCTGGGCCTTCAGATGACTCTGAAACACAGGCCACTATGTTCACTTTATGAGCCCTTCAGGTGCACTGCAAACCCTAACCCTATGTTCTTTCTATACCCCGAGGTAGATGTTGTTAGGTGCCCTGTCTCAGCCATCCCTCACCGTACCCACTTCTTTTTTCAACCTACCCCACCAAAACCCCCAAGATTAAAGGTGACCTGAGGGATGCCTGGGTGGCTCAGTTGGTTAAGCATCTGCCTTCAGCTCAGGTCATGATCGCAGGGTCCTGTGATCCAGCCCCACGTTAGGCTCTCTGTTCAGCAAGGAGCCTGCTTCTCCCTCTCCCTCTGCCTGCCGCGCCCCCTGCTTGTGCTCTCTCTCTGTGTCAGATAAATAAAATCTAAAATAAATAAATAAAGGTGTCTTGATCAGGGCACCTGGGTAGCTCACTTAGTTAAGCATCTGACTCTTGATGTCAGCTCAGGTCATGATCTCAGGGTTGTGATCCTGAGCCCTGGGTCAGGCTCCACGCTGGGCATGGAGACTGCTTAGTATTCTCTCTCTCCTTCTGCCCCTTCCATCCCTCTCTAAAAAAAAAAAAAAAAAAAAAAAAAAAAAAGACTTGATTACTAAGGTCTTTATTATCATGCAGAATAGAGAACACCAAGATAAGTGGTTCCAGGGGAGGGTGATGTGTGAGCTCATTGGATACATAATTGGGGTTACATGCAGACAAGACAACATCCATGATGAACGTGTATCTGAGAAGCCCAAACTGGACATCCCGCAAGGCCCCTTGACCAGCATGGGGTTAGTTCACTTCCTAACCATTTAAGAGGCAATGGGAATTAAGCCATTCTAGTGGGCCCAGGACAATCCTGTTTCCCTCCAGGAAAGGGGAAGGGAGGCACAAGGAGCTGTTTTCTCCCTACATATGTAGATGACTGCTGAAAATATTTGGATCCAGGCAGGCTGGAAAGGGCTTTATGCTCCAGAGGGGAGAGAGCTCAGCCCTGGGCTGCTCAGAAAGGGCAGACCACCTTCTGAAGCCTTCTCCACACTAGTGGTACATTCAGGTAACTTCTCTGTGGGTATTCTGCATGAAGTTTGACTTGGCTGAAGATCTTCTCAGAAGGACCATCTCTATAAGGCTACATTCAGGTATGAATCCTTTTATGCTGAGCAAGATTGCAGAGGCGGCTGAAGATTTTCCCACAGTGGTCACACTCGTAAGTCCTTTCTCTGGTGTGAACTATCTGGTGTCGAACAAGTGTAGATCTTTCACTAAAGGCTTTCCCACATTGGCTGCACTCATAGGGCCTTTCTTGTGTGTGAACTCTCTGGTGACGAACCAGGTGAGAGTTATTGCTAAAGGCTCTCCCACATTCACTGCATTCATAAGGCCTTTCTCCAGTGTGAACTCTCCAGTGATAAACAAGGCTGGACTTCCGGC